AAAAGAGCATTTCGTGGTGTGAAACTGTGATGTTTTAAACTGATGATTGATCATATCCATCCGAATCAAGTGATTGGGTGGTTATTGAATCTGTTTACTAGATTTTTCCATTGCCTCACATTCAGCTTTACGGCTTCGGCTGCATATTTTATATGCCCCATTTTGAGATATTAGGATATTAGAGCATCTCTTGTGTATGCGTGTCAATGTTATAATATCCATGCCACATGGCAGTAATTAATTGGATTGTGATTTTTTATAACATTAATGTTGACATCGTATAAAATAACTGTGTAAAATTATCTCCAATGTTTTACTTTCCTTGTATGTGTATACTAGTACGGAACCCGCAAGTTGCGCTTGATGTTAAAAATGACGTAGATGAAAATATTATTATATTTTGAATTATTTTCTTAAATATAATATTAGTAGTGAATGAATTATATTTATTATCATTGTCATAAATAACATTTTTTTACTTCGCTTTGCTAATACTTCTGACTTCACTGAGCTTCGCTTCGCTTGTTTGGTATTATTATATTTTGAATTATTTTCTTAAATATAATATTAGTAGTGAATGAATTATATTCATTATCATTGTCATAAATAACAATTTTTATCATTGTTGAATAAATAAAGACATTATTTCTATTCTGTAGATAATCTGGTATAGAATAATTCAAATAAAAATGTACAATTATGAGTCATTTATAATAAAAAAAATGTATTAAAAAAAACATACAAAAATAACTCAATTTTGATTACTATATTTTTGCACATTTTTTAATTGAAAAAATAAATTCAATAATTCATTTGTTTGCAAAATAAGTCCGATGGTGATTATAATAACGGGCAAGATAAATCACTATTTGTAAAGTTACAAACATGCCAATATTTATTTATGTTCATGTCACTAAGAAATTACTTATTTCTTACATGTAACTTATGCAAAATGTAATTTAATATAATTTTTAAGAATGTACATTAATAAAAAATACATTTAAATTGTATTAAATAAATTATAAAAAGAGTAAAATTCATTTTGATAAAACAAATATTTATTATATAAGATAAGAAAAAAATAGTTGATGCATTAAATTTGTTTATTGCAACAATTTAGTAGCAGTAATATATTCTGGTCATTCTCTTAAGAAAAAAACATGTGTTATAATAACAAAAAATTGACAATAACGAACAAAATATATTATTTATATTCATAAAAAAAAAATATAGTTTCATAATTGTGGATCGAAAAAAATTGTGTGAAGTCACTTCAGTCACAAACTTTTAAATGACCTCAATTTTAGGTCTATATGAAACAAATGAAATCAACTAAAAATAAAATAAAATAAAAAAACTATGTATTTTGGTCTCAAATTATTTAATCAATTAGGATAAAAACCAATGTAAAAGACCTCATATATAACAAAAATTCCACTAAATAATTGGATGATAAATATGTATCGTCTTATTCAGTCCTCACGGTCAACACCGTATTGTGACTCTTTCTCTCTCTTATGGTTGAGACTTTCTCACTTTTTTTGTTATCATTTCTTATTTTTTTATCTTTCACAATATTACTCTACAATATATAGTCAGTTGTGTTGAATTTTATCTACAGTAACGGTTCAATAGAGAAAATTTATTGTGAAAGAAGATATGCAAAATATATCGTCTTTATCCATTGATGCATTATAGTAAGTTGTGTTGAAGTATATTATTTGTAATCCATATTAGATTATAAGAATATCATAATATATTTATACATAAACTAATCTATACTGATAAATATGTTATTTTGTATTAAGTGTACATATATTTATTTAATTATTTTATTGTTTGAATTATTCACATAGGATTTAAAAATTTATTTCAAAGCCATGAATATCGGAGTGCAAGTCTCAATGCATAATTATGTATGAACTTAATTATTTACTTAAACAAATGATTATACTCATTATTTTAATGATATATCATAATTAGAGATTGATAAAATTTATTTGTAGATAATATATATTGTTTTGAACAATATGTCTCTTCTAATTTAATAAACTATATTATTTTTGTCATCGCTTTCTCATTGTACCTTATTCTATTTGTTTTGTTTATATGTATAATATGTTTTAATGCAAACATGTCGATCTCATAAACATAAATGAAGTTTTGAAATAAACATAATTTTCATTGATATTCCAATTGTATAGATATGTTTATACATTTAATTTTGAGAATAATAGTTAATATTTATAATTTTATGTTTAGTTATTATAATGTTTTGCAGCGAAAAATTTACTCAATGAATTAAAAATAAATACATCATATAAAAATGAAAAATTTTAATCTTCTAAATTCTATTAACTTTTATTTTGCCGCATTATATAATTAACTATGTTAGATTTTATATTATGTAGTTAAGAGTTTACAATTTCAAAATGACCCACGAATGTGAAAGATGCATAAATAAAATTAGGACTACATTAGGTCCTTATATTGTGGTTCTATAATGAAAAGATATTATGATTTTATAATTGAAAAACTTAAAGTGGATGGTTTTAAAAATTTAATAGATTAATCAATTGAGGACAATTAATTGATAATTTTACATTAATCATAGTATCTTTTTGTTTGATCTCATTATTATTTGTATTGAGATGTGTAGAATTAGCACAACATTCTAAACAATTGCTAACTTATTCAACATTCTCAATAATATTATTCTAGTATAAATAATTCCAATAGAGCTTTAAATTTTTGGACAATATTTATTGAATTGATTAAACCATTAATGAGTAACATTTAGTATAAAATGAGAGGGAAAACAAAACTTTTTCCAGCTGCTTTGCTTATATATATATATAGAGGTATTAATTAGGAATAAATTTTAGAAAGAAAAAAAATAATTACGTAAAAAAATAATTAAGTAAATACAACGTAGTTTAATTTTTAAAACATAAAAATTGTAATTACATTCAATGTTATTTTTATGTACATGTATCGAGTAAATACAAAATGGATTAAGTTTTGAAATATAAAAATTGTATTATTTTTATGTATCAAGTAAACACAAAATGGTTTAATTTTTAAAATATAAAAATCATGTTATTTTTGTGTATCAAGTAAATACAAATTTTAACATGTTAATGTACAAGATTTTAATTTTTCAAATATAAAAATTGTGTTACTTTTATGTATCAAGTAAATACAAAATAGTTTAATTTTAAAATATAAAAATCGTATTATTTTTGTGTATCAAGTAAATACAAATTTTGACACGTTAACGTAGTTTAATTTTTAAAATATAAATATTGTAATTACATTCAATGTTATTTTTATGTGCATGTATCATGTAAATACAAAATGGTTTAGTTTTTAAAATATAAAAATTCTGATATTTTTATCTATCAAGTAAATACTACATGGCTTAATTTTTAAAACATAAATCGTGTTATTTTCATGTATCAAATAAATACACACGTTTTCTGTCGAATACACTGTTTGCCTTTAAACAATGCACTTTACAGTAGTCATGCCACGTCGCAAAAAATTAGACCATGACAGAGTCCATTGGAGAAAAAAATATGAAGACACTGTCTTCAATGATGACACTGACATTCATTTTTTTTTCGGAGACTCTCTTAAGCAGAAAAGAAGCAATTTGGTCATCATCTTGTCTAGGTTTTTCTGTGTAATGTAATGTGTTGTGTATGAAAGTATGTAATGAGGACAATTAGTAAAATTTGTGAAAAAATATACCAATATTAATTTTTTTCTTTTTTGGGGATTGCGGAGATAAATTTGGTAAAGTAAATTGAATTGTTTATTTATTGAAAATCTGAAATAATTGGATGGCAACCTTAACCCAATAACTAATTAACACGTATCTTTGCTTTTGGTGCTTGATAATAATGAATTCAATGAGGCCCACTTATACCAAACTATTTATCCACTGACTATTCAAAGTGCCATGTGATGTAAAATCGGACCAGTGTTGGTTTGCTAAAAGTTTGGTTTTAAGTCTTACCATTAACAGAACATGGAGCATTTTGAATTATGAAATGTTTTTGGGCTAACAAATTACATTTGTCGTAAGGTTGAAAGTGAAGTGAAACTGCCCAAAATTCCTTTTGATGGCAAAAGGAATTTATTAGCTACTTAACTTATTTTGGCCAAGGTATAACAATAGAAATCACATATTAAGTTGTGGAATTAATTTAGTATACTGAAGCCAAACCTAGAATTACCAATTTCAGCCTAAAACTGAAATTACAGATTACCCAATTCAAATATTCTTATATGTGCAAAATTGTTGACATGTCTACAAAGATATATAAATTTTATTGTATGGAACCTTCCCTCAACTTTTATTATATGAGATGCTCCACTCCATCCGTGTCTATCGTATTAAAATATAACGTTTAATTTAGATTTTAAGAATATGCAAAATATTTATAGTTTATATTATATTCTTATTTACACTACTTTCAACATCAACTTATTTTAAACTTATATTAAAGTTTAACAAATTGTGCCAGGTAAACAAGTACAAAAGTTTTAAATCACATCTTGCACATACAAATGAGACTCTGTTATGGAAAAGAAACGAAGACGAAGAAGGAAAAAATTTACTTCAAAACAAGGAGATAGCAAGTAATAAAGAGTAGAATTATGGAAATCTTATTCGACTAGGGCTGATGGTTCATTTTTTCTTCCTTTAATTCTTCCCGAGTAAATAAGATAATTATATTTTGTAAATAGAAAAAAAAAAAGATAATGAAGTTTAATTCTTTAAAAACTATTAAAGTATTTAAAAAAATTCCTTTAGATTCCCTATTTACATTGGGTTATGTTACAGTTACATAAGTAATGACATAAGAATTGATATATATCATATCACTTTTAAAATCAACCAAATTAATTAATTCAGTATGTGATCATGAACAGAAGTAATAAAAAAAAAAAATAAAATAAAATAAAAATAATAAAAAAAAAATCTTAAGAACATCTATTGGCCCACCGCTAAACAAGTAGCGTGGAATAAAAAGCCCGCATTATTGGAAACTAATAAAGAAAAGAAAAAAAGAAGAAAAGCCATCACTGAATGTAATAATGTAATATTATACTTCAGACATCATCGATTTTTCCGTGGCACCTCCATTAATGTGAGATTGTAATAAATATCACACCAACCACTACTTAATAAACTCCTCTCACTAAATCTTTGCTGATAACAATTTTTTACTAGTTTTCGTTTCGCGCGAGTACTGAGATGATGAGCAGTGAAGATAAGAAAAGGCCCCTTCATCTTCCTCAGGTACTTTTACTTACTTGATTATCATTTTCTGCTTAATTACCTAACTATTGTTCTTCTTCTGCTTGTGTTTTCCTCTTTTCATGAATTCTTTCTCAGAACATGATGGAGAAACAACAAAAAACAATTTCTCTTGCATTTTTCATTTTTCCTTGTAATTTTTTGATTCATGTGTCCCAGATTATTAGATTATTTGCTGAAGCTTTTAGTTAGTTAGTTCCGTAAGTAGAAACGAACACGTTTTCCTTTGATTAGTTTTCTGACTTTACCTGTTTGGTTTGTTTTTCTTTGCGGGATCTAACCGCCGAAAAGGTTAAGTTTTAGGCACCAAACATCCACTATGTGATGGCCTTATTTCTAATTTTGTAATGTATGCCCCATGCTTCTGTTCTGTTCTGTTCTGGTTCTTACTTTGATGACCTCATATTCACAAAAAGCATTCAACTTTCTTGCAACAGATAGATAAACTTGACCTTTGCTTCTCTGGATAGACATAAATATGATCTAACATATAAATATGAATTATAAAAAAAGAAGAAGCCAATCAATCAACCATTTTGGGACTATTGCAATTTCTATAACTAATCAGTTAGCATATTTATGTGCACTGATCACCTGACATTTCTTTTGAATTTCCATTTTCTGTAATTTCATTAATTAGATTTTTGCTCTGGTTTTGGTACCGTGTAGCCAATTTGCCCTTTTTCACTCTCTTATATCTGCATAAAATTATATTCATGTTAGCACATAAAGAAATGCATTATCCAATTCCCCAGGTAGCGAAAACCTCAGAGGAGATGGCAGAACAAACCTCAAACAACAAACAACAATGGAAGAAGGCAAACCTAAACCTTTCCCTGGAAATACCCAAAAGGCCCCTCGAAATATCTCCTCAAGAACTCGTCCAAGTAGATGTGCCCCCAACACAAACTTGCACACCAAGAAAAGTAAACTTCAATGTCTCACCTGGGCCCGGCCCATCGGGCTCGAGGCTAATTGGATCATCCTCATCATCATCCGGGCCCTCGTCAACTAGAGGGAAATCATCAATTAGGAGCTTCCTGCCTAAATTGAGCTTCAAGAACCGGAGTTCGGTTAATTCGGATGTTGAGAAAGGTGCCAATGGTAGCCTTGACTCGATTTATCATAGTATTGTCGGGCAAGATAAGGCCCCGATATCAAGATCGTGGTCATTTTCGAGAATTTTTACGCCGAGGATAAAAAGGGCATCATCCTTGCCTTTTGTGAACTTGAATCCAGACAGTAGTCATGGTGGAAGTGTGAACAGTCATGTAAGTGTAAAGGGATTTTTCTGTTAAGGAAAAAAAAAAAACAATAAAAGAGTGGTGAAAATTATAAGGGGACTTATCATATTTTGTTTTGGTGATTGTTACTTGTAGACAAAGGAAGTTGCATGTATTTCCCGTTCGCTTTCTGTGCCGGTTGTAAGGAAAGAAAAGGGCATTCAAAGGATGAATTCTTTTTTCCGTGTAATACCCTCGACTCCCATGGTGAAGGAAGAGGACTCTGAATTGGCAATTGCCATAAAGGAAAATGATGGTAATTTTTTACAATCTTTGCTATTGTAGAAGCATGTATAGAATTTTTGCATGTTTATATTACTTTCAAGACTCAAGATGCAGCTTTGAAATATAACACAGTGTAACTAACACCAGTTACCAAAAGTTCCAATAGCATTTGATCCTTATTCTGTTTTATTTTATCCACATTTTTTGTTTCATTTTCAAAACAAGTTGGAGGATACTTTTTTTATTACTTTCCGTTTGTTAGCAGAAAACATTGAGGGTGATGGTGAAGATATACCAGAAGAAGAAGCCGTTTGCCGGATTTGTTTGGTGGAGCTTTGTGAAGGTGGGGAGACTTTGAAGATGGAATGCAGCTGCAAAGGCGAACTGGCTTTGGCTCATCAAGAATGTGCCGTTAAATGGTTCGTCATCAAGGGTAACAAAACTTGCGATGTTTGCAAGCAGGAAGTCCGGAATCTTCCGGTCACTCTTTTACGTATTCAGAGCACCGCAAATCGAGATTCCAGGCCGCGTGTTGCCAGAGAGATGGAATTAAACGGATACAGGCACGTCGTTATGTTCACTGCACCTTTCTTCCTCTGCATAAAAAGATCTTATAAAACATCAAAAAATATGATTGTGTTTTGTTGTATAGTTAGTTTCTGTTGTTATGAAATAGTCTGCTTTGTCTTTCCTGTTTTAATTCTAGTAAAGAGAAACTGTTGAAACTTACTAACCAGTATAATAAGATGTGAAATTTTCAGAAAATCAAAATATTGCATTTCCCCTTTAAAAAAATCTTGAGTTATTATGTTTATATAGATGGGGTCTAAATACTTTTTTGTTTTGTAAACACAGGGTTTGGCAGGAATTGCCTATTCTGGTCATTGTCAGCATGCTTGCCTACTTTTGTTTCCTCGAGCAGCTTCTAGTAAGGCATTTTTTTTTTCGGTTTCACTTGAGATTAAGCAGATCAAGAATGACTCATGTATGGGTTTCTGTGTAGGTTAAGAAAATGGACACAAGTGCAATTGCTATATCAGTTCCATTTTCGTGTGCACTAGGCCTCATCTCATCTGTCACCTCCTCAACTATGGGTATTTTTCAATTTACTTCTAAAAAATAGTTTCAATTTTCCAATTTCCAGAGCAAATCACTACATTGTACGATCTCACATTATCTTTTTTTCGTTTATTTCTTTCATTTTTATCGTATATAGTGAAAAGAAGATTCGTGTGGATCTATGCAGCAATTCAGTTCACCCTTGTGGTTGTCTTTGCTCATATCTTCTACGGCCTGGTACAGAAGTTTCTATTCATGTGTAGTTTTTTCTTCAATCGACTCGTAGTGAAATTACTTTGTGGTCCCTATTGTGAGTTATTTTGAAACACTAAAGTGCACTTCGAATCCAACTTATATGTGGTTTCATTTTGAGGTTAGTTCCCAAATATTTCCATTAAAATCCATATGTTGAAACTTATGTAGCTTAAAATTTTTATCTTTGTTCACTCTGTAGAGGAAGTGACAGGATATGAGATGAAAATGTGAGAATGAAAGTTGGTTGATATAAAACGAAAAATAACTATATATAAATGTAAGATACATTTCTTTTCGAAATTGTGTGTAGGATGGAATTTTGATTAAAGAGAGAAAAAAGAAATGAACGAATGGACACTACATGTTTTGAAAATTTAGTTTGAAGCTCCAATTTAAGTGATCTCCGAGTCATTGTTTGTGCATTCAAATCCTACACATGTCAATTTATTGAACTGTTCATTATATTTTAATAAAGAAAAAAGATATTTGCATGTGTATTGCACCTCAATTTATTGTGACATTTTCCTTTTATCTTGATTTGTATTATTTGATGTCAGGTTCAAGTGCAAGCAGTTGTGTCAATCCTTCTCTCGACATTCGCGGGATTTGGTGTGGCCATGAGTGGAGCTTCCATTTTTGTGGAGATCCTTAGATGGAGAGAAAGAAACAATGTTGCCACAAACCCGTCAAATTCTAGTCCTAGTCGAGCTCCTCCACCAAGCCTAATACAAACACCGCCCTTAAACAGTCCTTCACGACTTAATCAAGATGAAGTTGAAAATCCAAGAACCTCTTAGTGCAAGTTTATATAAACAAAATTGTCAATACTGCATTTTGTGAAGGTCATGGGAAATGAAGGTTTTGCTACCATTCTTATTTCATACTTAGGTTGATGGAAGAGGAAGAGAGTGGAAACACGTGTCATTAGAATGATCGGAATATATTTTTGCAATTTCCTTTTTCTTTTTTTTTTTTTTTTAGTTAGATATATGCGACGTGCCTAGTTTGAAGAATCACGTGCCGCAGTTTGTGTACATAAGTCATGGGTGTTAGGTCATATTGTGTGGAGGTTTGAAGCAAGATGCAAAACCATAGCAAAGTTTTTACATGTTAATTTGCAGATAAACATTTGTGTTGTAATTTGATAGAGGCAGTTACCAATGTCTGGCTTCTTGCAAGTTGTAACAGCAACTCAAGATTGGATCAGTGTCAAGTTATTATTATTTTCAGTTGCAGGTTTTCACCCAAGTCTCGCAACTCTTTATGTTGTGGAGATATTTTATATCAAACTAGTATTCAATCTTGTCTACATGCAAATAAAATATTATAAATTATATGTATGGATGTCCCACCTCAAATTCCTGGGGTGACTTCGTTCCAAATCTCAAATTCCTGGGGTGACTTCGTTCCAAATCTTAATGCGCAGGATAACAAGCTTGGGAAAAAGCATTCATCTCCATAATATTCATTAATATATTTTTTTATCGAAACGATAGATTTTATAACAAAAACACATAGATACAACTACACATCAATCAGAATAAGCCGCAGCCATCGAGCCAAATCTAGTGAGAAGAATACACACATAAGTGTATCATAGAAATAGACAAACTAACTCACCCACAACACCATAACTAAACTAAACTAAGCACTCCCACAAGAGAGAATCAAACTTCTAAAAGAAGAATGACACTTCTAAAAAGAAGAATTAAACAGCACACCAACACACCCAGAACAACACAAAAACAAAATATAATGTTTAAAAAAAGAAAAAAATTTTTGTGAGTCTATTTATAATCAATTCTCTTTAATATTATCAATGTAGTTAAATAATATCAATCAATCATTCCAATATATTATATCAACTTTAATTCATTATTCATCTGCTCCTATATGTTTTAACTATTTATCATTTTCAATAATGTTTCTACAATTTTCACATAATATCAAATTTAATCATTATATTTTATATATTATTTAAATACACTCAAAATCTCACTCAATCAACTTTATTTAAAATTAACTCACGTTAACTCAAAATTCAATGGAACCTAAACCACTGCTTTTCAGACATCCACTATTGTTGAAGTAAAAATTTTCTCTCTTCTGGTCCCCTCTTTCTCCTAGGTCCCATCTCGTCGAAAAACCCTAATCCGTCCGCGGCGCCTCCCTTCGTCCGGCGAAGATGGCCCATCTTCGCAATAGGACAGGCTCCAGGATCATGGTCTCTCCCGGCGCGTCGTCGATCTCCTTAGCTGGTGTGGCGTCTCCTCTTTTGCGGACGGCCATGGTGGCTCTTGGGGAGCGTGGGCGGTGCTCCGGCTCGTGTGCTGCGGCGGGCGTCTCTGCCGTTCTGCGGCGGAGGGGTGGTGGTCGGCGTTGGTCTTTACCCCTCTCTTCCGGCTTCTCTGTGGTGTGTGAAGAGTGGGTTTTTCGGCGGGACGGTTTTGTGGTCGTGCTCGCCGGATCGTGTGGGGGGAAAGAGTGGTGCGGACTCTTGGCGTTGCCCTGGTAGTATCAACCTTGTTGATGGGTTGGTTGTGACGGTCCGGTAAGAGCGTAGCGGGTGAAGGGCTCCCTCGATGCCGTGTTTTTGTCCTAAATCGTACTCTTTTCATTTGGGTTTCTTCCGAGGTCTGGTTTGAGTGGTGAAGATTCGGTGCTGTTGTCCGGCCGTGGGGAGTGCTTTTATGTATTGTAGTAGTAGTTGAGCTTGGAATGTCCTCTCACTGGATTTAACTTTTAACTGCTAATTGTTGTTTCTAGATTGTAATTATATATTTTAGTCGGTTTTGCTATGAAGCCAACAGTTGCAGGGGCGGATCTAGAAATTTTTTTTTGGGGGGGACTAGAGCTGTAAATCGAACAAAATTGTCTGCGAACTCAACTCATTCTGACTAACAAAAACTCGAGATCAACTTGTTCTTATACTTACATAAACTATTTTTTTAGACACTAAATTGACTTTGTGTATTAACTGAGTCGGGTCTTACTTGTTTATTAAATGATTCTAGCCGAGCTGACTCATTTATTAATCAAACACGAGTTTGAACATGAGATATTTTAGATTAACTCGACTTAGATAACACCTTTAGAGATGATATATAATTTTTAACACACACACATACATACAGTTTCATTTTATATTAAACTAGTGCGTCGGCCCGTGCGATGCACGGAAAAACAATATTATGATTGTATTATAAATTAAATATATAAATAACATTAATTATAATTTATTCATTGTTTTTAAATTAAACCGGGTTGGACATAGTGATGGACCGAGAACCTGTTTATAACCAGTCTAGTTGGCCTGAATAAAATATTTGCCCTCGAATTCGTCAACACCAGTCGATTGGACTGGTAGGATCGATACGATTTTCTAAATAATTTTTGTTATATTTAAACTTATTTTAAATAAAATTACGTATTTAAATAAAATAGAGATTTGTGAATTATTTATCAATTAGTTTAATTGTTTAGATATCTAAGTAACACATTTTATTTAAATTTATTACAAAAAGTATTATATATATATATTAAAATATTTATAAATTAAAATCTGAACAAACTATAAATGATTTAATAAAATAACTTGATCATTACGATGACGGTCAAATTCTGAAAACCTTATATTTACTGTACATAAATTTTATTATTTTCTTTAAATATACTTAATTTTATGATTCATATAATAAATGTCTACACCAAATGATAGTATATTAAGACTATAAATTATATATCTAAAGATGAATTAATTATTTTTATTTTATGCATATTAATGAAAAATAAACATAGTAGTTTTCAAAAAATTAAGATTAATTGATTGATTATGAAATTTAAAGAACATTTTTAGCATTCAATATTTTTTTAAAGGCACAAATATAAAGACCGAAATTTTAAAACTTTTGTTATATTTTGAATTGAGATTTTATAAATATAAAGACCGAGATTTTAATGTTGTTCGTTGTTTTTAAGAAAAAAATAAAAATAAAAACATACACTTAATAAATCTTAGCCGGATTTTTTAAATAATAAAAACTAATGCCCGAATTTTAAGGTAGCATTTATTGCTGTATAATTTTTAAAGAAAAATAATAAAACTTACTATTTATAGACTGTATTAAATTCTAGCCTATTTTTTTGCTACTATTTTTGGTAAATGGTAATTCTTATTATATATATATAGATAAATAAAATAAATAATAAAAATGTTGTACAAAATATATAACTTATGGATTTTGGTATTCTAAAATTGTGTTTGATATTATTTCACTTCACGGGACTCATTAACAATTGATACAGTGTTAATAGTTCTTGTCAGTACTTTTCAATCCCATAAATTTGCATATCTTGCATGCTCTGTTGTTTCAATTTTTTTATTATGATGTCACATATCTCATACATTCAATTTTATTAAATTATCAATTATAAAGAAGAAACACCAAATATTATAGATGGAGAGTAAAAATTTACTAACAAAAATATAATGTACTTAAAATAATTAATAGACAGAGCAATACAATAATTAGTAATAATTATGAAAGGTAGGTATAAATTGGATATACTTATAAATATATATTTATGTAGTAAAGGATAAAAATTGGTAACATACTTACAATATGTATATATATAGATAGTAAATAATTAAAAGTTTGGGGGGACAATGGCCGTCCGTATCTATAATGTGGATACAGTTGGCTCCATAATTGGATCCGCCACTAATATAATTTTATTAATATGATAGGTTTATTTGTTGTATATATAAGTTTGATTCCACTGTGGAGCCAACTGTTGACTTCGTAACAAAATCAATATTTTAGTTATAATATTACATTCCTTTGGAGAAAAAAAAAAAAATCAAAATTCTATCAAAACTTTATATCTAATTGCCCGTTATCTTCATTCCCAATCTCATTGAATTTATATTGATCTCCAAGCGTAACGGGGATTGGGACATTTTAAATACAGAGACAAGCTCCAGAACGACGTAGTTCCATCTTTCCCTGTATAAAGTCGCTCTGTCTCCGTCTCCGCGTCAGATCTCAGTCAAATTCCACTCCGATCTCCTTTCTCAAATCCTGGCAATGGCGAGTCGATTAACCCTTCTACTCACACTCATCTCTCTGCTCCTCTTCGCTCTATACTCCACCCCAATTCTCTCCTCTGCCACAGCAGCCGACGATGACGATGTTGAAGACCTCAGCTTTCTTGAGGAACCCGAATCCGGCGACGCCGCGCCCGGAAACCACCCCGACTCTGACGACGAGTACTTCGATGACGAAGATGACGAATTTGGGAACTACGACGACTTCGATGCCCCCTCTGATTTCAATCACCAGGAAGAGGAGGCGGCTGAGGTTGCCGGGATCGATGAGACGGACGTCGTCGTTTTGAAGGACAGCAATTTCAGTGATTTCGTGAGCGAGAACAAGTATGTGATGGTGGAGTTCTACGCGCCGTGGTGTGGGCATTGCCAGTCTCTGGCGCCGGAGTATGCGGCGGCCGCCACCGAGCTGAAGACCGAGAATGTGAAGCTCGCCAAGGTGGACGCCACGGAGGAGAACGAGCTGGCGGAGACATATGAAGTTCAAGGATTCCCTACTTTGTATTTCTTTGTTGATGGGGAGCACAACCCGTATTCTGGTCAGCGTACCAGGTGAGATGTGTCATATACTCGTATTATTGTGTTTTATCCCTTTCTCCCGCATCAAATTCTTCTTCCTGTGTTGTATGTATCTGTATTTGATGATTAAACGCATCAGTTGTGCAATGTCCAACACACGCTGGGTTTCCTGCTATGTTGAAAGGGAATTCAAAGTTACATCGCCTTTTTTGTTTTTAATTTTTTTTTTTGAAGTACGAAATGGGGGAAGTTGGTCACTTTTTACAACTCTAGCAATACTTATGGATTAACGGAAACAGTCTCTGTGATGCAGAATGCATGATCGAGCTGTATCCAGATGAAAAAGGGAATTTGCTCTCGAAATTTTATTTTTAATGGCAACGTTTGTTTTTTTGTTCTTTTTTTGGTTTTCCCTATAACATCACCTCTAAGCTGTTAACGACTTAACTCATGCTAGATTGTGGCTTTAAGGTTATACATTCCTTTCCCAATTTCTCTTTTCTGTAGTCTTATGTAAACATTTTCTGAAATTTTAAAGTTCAGATTAAAATTTGTTTTCAGCCGCTTGGATTCAGGATTTTATTAAGGAAAGAATATAGCAGGATTTGCCTTTTATTTTGTTTAGATGAAATCTTGTATAGAGATAGAATTTGGCATCAAAACTGCTCTGCTTTGCTGTTATTTAGTTTTATTCATTTGTCAATGCAAGGTACGAAGGATTAATTTCAAGCGTTACATATTAAGCCAAAAATATCATCTTAAATGCATGTTTACATGATTGCCTGTTTTTTTGTAGATTGCTAAACCAGCAGTACGTCTCTGCCATTGCATTTGACTTATGATATATACATGGATGTGAATATTGTGCTGTTCAGGCAATATAAAATGCCAGATACATGTGAAGAGTTCTATTATGTACCTGATGATTGTTCAACGTATAGTGTTTGAATGAAAAGTTGATTGAGTTGTTCTCTTGAGCAGTTGAAAAATTATTAAGCTTAATGCAGGGAGGCTATTGTGACCTGGATTAAGAAGAAAATTGGGCCTGGTATTACCAACATAACAACAACAGAGGATGCAGAGCATATATTAACATCTCAGGATAAGGTTGTTTTGGGCTTCTTTGACTCATTGGTGGTAAGATACCTATGCTTTTCCCTTCTTCTTTCACTCTACTATAAATTGAGACCATATGATTGTTACTCTTATGTGTTATTATTGCACCCTCATTCATGTGTATGAGATTAGATTTTCCTATGATGCCTATGGAGATAACTTTTCCTACATACACCATCCTTCACATTTATGCTGCCTGACAAATTCTTCTATCCTCACACTTCTGTTGTATCAGACAAAGCCGTCTCATTACATCTTCCATATGCAATTGATACAGATGTGAGATTATGTAAGAGCAATCCAGTTCGGTAGAAGTCATCCATGAGAGCATGTTGTGCTTTAGGGAAAATTCAGTCTCTTTCTTAATTCATGAGGATAGTGCTAATTTGTTTGTGTCTTTGCATGCTGTTTGAGTTCCTTCGGAAAATAAATCCTTACTTTCATGCTTTCTTTGTATTAGGAAAATAAATCCTTATTTTCATGCATTCAATCCGTAGCACCCAATCCTATTTCCAAATGAGCGAGTAAAACAACTGCTGTAAGGGAATGCAATCCCTTTCATGGTAAAGTAACAGCGCAGAATCATTTTCGACATAGCTCATTTTAACTTTTACAGGGTCCCGACAGCGAAGAGTTTGCTGCTGCATCGAAGCTTGACGATGATGTCAACTTTTACCAAACTGCAAATCCCAATGTGGCAAAGATGTTTCACTTGAAAGTTGATGTTAAGCGCCCTGCTTTGGTTTTGCTAAAGAAAGAAGCAGAGAAAGTGACTCATTTTGGTGAGTACCCTTGTGTGCTATTGTAAGCTATTTGCTTGTACATATCGTGCTGAATGTCATCCTCTTTTTGTAAAGATGGGCAGTTCGAGAAGTCTGTAATAGCTGAGTTTGTTACTGCTAACAAGCTTCCTCTAGTGACCACATTCAGCAGAGAAAGTGCACCGTTGATATTTGAGAACCCAATTAAGAAGCAAGTAAGTGAATGATAGTTCTAAGTAGACACAAGGATATGGGCCATTCTGGATAGTATCGTTTTCGTTTTGCATCCTTGTTCATTATTGCATGCTGAATCCCTGATTTGTGTTCTCAGCTTTTGCTCTTTGTCAAATCGAATGACTCAATAGAAGTATTGCCAACATTCCAAGAGGCTGCAAAGCATTTCAAGGGAAAGGTAATGTGTCCAGCTACCAAAATATTTTCATTGTTGAAACATATTTGCTTGAATTTGAAAATCTGCGGGGTTGAGAAACTTTTGGATTATTTGTGTCAGAGCAGTAAAATTGCCAGTTTAATTGAACTATTCTAAAACTTGCCTTTCTATCATCATAAGTTTTCTTCTTATCACAAACTGATGCACAATTTCTAAAAGTGAAACTGATGGAGCTACGAAACATTGAAACAAAATTCAACCATCACTTCGATTCCTATTCCCATTCCTTGTTCCCCAAACTTCCCAACCAATCACCCCCTTAATATAATATATAGCACTTGTAAAGTTGCATTGCTACTACTAGAAAGAATTAATTGTCACAAACCAAAACTTCTTGTCTAGAGAAGGTTGAGGCTTTTGCTTTATGGCTCTACAACATATTTAGTAATACATCTATTTTTTTTTTTTTTTTTTTTTTTTTTTTTCAGAACTGACACAGAGTCTTCCTTGTTTATAACTGATGCAGATTGTCTTTGTACATGTGGAAGTTGATAATGAAGAAGTCGGAAAACCTGTAGCAGAATATTTTGGCATCACTGAGGATGCTCCAAAAGTAACCTTCTTACCATTCCTTCATCAAGTGGCCTCAGTTTCTATGTGCAGTACCTGTTGCTTCGAATAGTGCGATAGTGTAATCTCAAGATACAATCAATTTCTTTCAATGTGTTGTACTTTGGCTGCAGGTTTTGGGGTATGCAGGAAGTGATGATGCTAGGAAATATTTTCTTGATGGGGAAGTTACACTTGAAAACCTTAAGGTTGAAAACCATTGGTTATTATTGACTCAGAGCTTCTTGTTATGATGGGTTCTTTTTGGGTTTGTTATTTACTTGCGACTTAAATGTTTTATTGCTATTCTTGATACTTCATCAGGCATTTGGGGAGGCTTTCCTGGAAGACAAGCTCAAACCATTCTATAAATCCGATCCTATCCCTGAAACAGTGAGTTGCATTCTTTTTTCGTGTCTGATTATTTTTTTTGTCTTATTCATGTGCTAACCAACATGTTATCCTAATTCTTCACGTCCCAGAATGATGGAGATGTGAAGATTGTTGTCGGGAACAACTTTGATGATATTGTTCTAGATGAGTCCAAAGACGTTCTCCTTGAGGTACTTTGTGGATTAATCTGGAGAATGATGGTCTCGGTTCTCTTTTACTCACCTGTTTTGATACGTGTGCCTGTAGATATATGCACCATGGTGCGGGCATTGCCAATCTCTTGAACCAACATACAACAAGCTCGCCAAGCACTTGCGTTCGGTCAAATCTCTTGTTATAGCCAAAATGGACGGTACCACAAACGAACACCCAAAGGCAAAGGTAATTGATATACTTGAATCGTAAACTTTGGAAGAGGCTTTTAGTAGCTACATGTGCTGAAAATTGAACCCCTGGTGATTATGATTCCAATTTCATTCTTGTTCAGGAATATAAAATCTCTTATTATGTCATAGTCTTCAGGAATATAAAATCTCTTATTATGTCATAGTCTTGGTTCTGTCTGATTGTGAACGATTTCAAGGTTGAAGTCCAACTTATTCATTAAAACTTATGATGCACGATCCGTTTCAGCATTCGGTGATTACAAAAACTATCCTACAAATTATGCCTAAATTGACATAAACTTCACATGAGTAGGGCTACAAATGAATCGAGCAGCTCGCGAGCGCTCGGGTCAATGCTAGACTCGAGCTTGGTTCGTTTGCAGCCCTTTGACATGATTTGCGAGAATACAAATAGGTTATTGGAGTGATATATCTTGGCCACATCAACAACTATAAACTCAATTCCCACCCGCATTTTCACAAACCTGGAAAATTAGTTTGATATTCAATTGCACAGAATATTAATTTAATATTTTTGGAATATCGCCAATTACCCTCACTTGTTGACTTTCTCTCTCATCTCTCTTTCCACAATCCTTGGCACAAAGTTTTGTACCCAAGAAAAATACCTCCACCCAAAATTGTCACAACACATACCTCATGGTTTTTAGTTAATTAAAACCTAGATAAAAACTTCCAATGGAGGGTGGCTTTAAAGTGTGATGGAATCACATTCTTATGGATCACAATTACCTAATGAAGTACCTCAAGTTAAAGGATAAGATGCATCTCGTACAAGAGAAATAAACAGCGATGAACAACTTGATACTGTGTAAAATAACTGGTTTTATCTGCAGTTAAGCTAAATTTGAGGAGTTGTTTTTGTATTCAACTCCTAAAAAATTTCATCGACTCTAAAGAGAAAATTTCCATAATGCAGGCTGATGGTTTCCCCACGATTCTCTTCTTCCCAGCAGGAAAGAAGAGCCTTGACCCCGTAAGCTATGCTTCATCACTGTGTTTGGACATTGTTACTACTATCATTACTATTATTGTTGTTGTTATTACCATTACTAACTAGAATTTTTTTTTTTTTTTCCTGGCAGATTCCTGTAGATGCCGATCGGACAGTGGTTTCATTGTACAAGTTCCTGAAGAAACATGCGTCAATCCATTTTAAGCTTCCGAAACCAGCTTCTTCCTCAGTCAACGAAGTCCCTGAGGCCCCAATTAGTGATGTGAAGGACGAGCTATGATGACCTTAACTACAAAGGCTGTTTCTCGGCAACTATAAAGGCGATTATACTAATTTTAAAATGAGAGACGGGATAGAGAAAATGATATATGGAAGGTGAAAATTTATCTACATCTTTTTTTTTTGCTTGGTGTTTGGTATGCAGAGAATTGACTTTGTAGCTACTTACAATGAACATCGCTCAAATTGAAGTGAGACAAATAAACATTAAATTTTTCTACTCATTTACTATTCACCGCCCCCCTATTACTACTTACCGTCCCTCTTGGACAATTTTGTCCCTGACATTTTTTTCCAAAAAGTAAAAAAAAAAAAAAAAACTGTCCGGCCGGCGAAACCGGACGGCTTTTAGCCCGTCCGGCCGCCAGAACCGGATGGTTCAAAAGACGTCTGGCCGGCCGGAAAGTTCGTCTGGTCATTTTTTTTTATATAAATTATAATAATACTTATAATTTAATTATAATGAAAAATTATAAATTATAATTTAAAATTATAATTATTTTAATTTAAAACAAAAAAATAATATATTAATAAATAAAAAATATATTAATTAATTTATTGGATAAAAAATATTTTTAATTATCAGAAGAATAATAATTACTAAATATTATTAAATTAAATTATTATAATTATAATTATTATTATTAATATTTTTATAATTTATAATTGATTACAATTTATTCAACTTATTATTATTATAATTTATAATTGTTATTATAATTATTATAATTATTTCTAATTTATAATTATTATAATTATTATTATAGTTATTTATAATTATTATTATAATGTATTATAATTATTTATTAAAATGTATTAACTCTTCTTTAAAATTATAACATGTGATTTATTCGTATATTATTGACAAATATGATTTATTTATTTAATTATTTCATAATAAATTTATCATAAAATATATTTTCATTACACAATATGTTAAATAAAGTATAAAACCTTAGGATGCAAAGTATAAAAATCTCTTGATTATAGAACTATAGAAGGGTTTTATTTTTCGCAAGGGCAAAATCATAGTAATTTTTAATCTAAAACGAATAAGAGGTGTTTGTTTATAAATTTTTTAAATCCATACTCACAATTTAACTAAATTTTAACACAACCTCACTATCTTCAATATTAGAAATATAATTAAATAATATCAATCACCTTCCTTAGAGATCAAATCAACTTTAATACATTGTTCATTCACTCACATAATTATAACTAACTATCACTTCAAATAATATTTTTTTCTTACTATTACATCAAATTAATTTTAATTATTTTATTTTAATTAATAATTTAATAAAAACTCAAAACCTCACTAACAACTAGTCATATCACTTTTTTCAAAATTAACATTAGTTAACTAAAAAATCGTTCATTTATAACTATATTACTCTCTCCTGTTCATAATAAATGTCGTTTTGAAAAGTTGCACAATAATTAATAATCTTTATTTTGCCAATAATAACCCTCATTAATGAAAATAGAGATTGATGTTTTGAGAAAATATGAAAAATGAATATGAAAAGACGTAGTATATTTATTAACTAGATGAGAGTAATAATGAGAAAACATGTAAAAAAAATCCAAAACGTCATTTATTTAGTTAATGGTCGATAAAATCAAAATGACATTTAAAAAAACAAAAAAGGAGGTAGTATATTTTAACTAATTTTTTATGGTTCGTACAATAAATGTTCTGTAATGTTTGTGACACACAAATTTAAAACAAAAGCAATTGGCTTTTCATAAATCTCGAAAATTCAGTATGTGAAACCAAACGATCAGTGGAGTGTGCCCACGTGGAACATGCCCATTTTCTTCCCCGTGAAGGAAAAATGGTTGGGCTGAATTGTAACCTCTTTTTTTCCTTTTAATATAATAATACACATTTTGTAAGGAATTGAGCGTATGCAGAAAAAAATCTTAAGCGGGATGTTTTAATTTTTCTCATTTACTATTCACCGCCCCTCCTTTTACTACTCACTGCCCCCTCCTTTTTACTCTTTATTTATAATAAAAATTATAAATAATTATAATAATAATTATAAATAATTATGATAATAATTATAAATTAGAAATAATTATAATAATTATAATAACAATTATAAATTATAATAATAATAAGTTGAATAAATTGTAATCAATTATAAATTATAAAAATATTAATAATAATAATTATAATTATAATAATAGTAATAGTGATAGTAAAAATAATAATTATAATTAATAATAATTATAATAATTGTAATTAATTATAATAATAATAAATAATTATAATTTTTTATAATTTTAATTATAATATATGTTATAATAATTATAATAATAATTTTTTATAATAATTATATAATTATAATAACAATTATAAGTTATAATAATAATAAATATTAAAATAAAAATGAATTCTAATATATTTAAATAGTTATTAAATATGAAAAAATTTAATAATTATATTTCTGATAATATCTAACGTCCAATTAATAGTATAATGAAGTCTAACATGTAAAATCATTTCTAACTCCTAACACGATAATATCTAACGTCCAATTTATAACATAATTATTTCGAATATATAACATAATAATTTATAAAAAAAAAAAAAAATGTCCGGCCGGCCGAACCGGACGGACCGGTTTCGACCGGCTGTCGCCGCCGGACGGCTTTTGAACCGTCTGGTTCCGACGGTCGGACGGGCTAAAAACCGTCCGGTTTCAACGGCCGGACAATTTTTTTTATTATTTTTTTTTATTTTTTATTTTACTTTTTGATTAAAATTGTCAGGGGGAAAATTATCCAAGAAAAGCGATAAGTAGTAATAGAGAGCGGTGAATAGTACTACCCTTCTCGCTAATTGCTATAAGCGCACGCTTTTGGGAATTGATTTTGGATTCCGTGTTACTGCTGCTGTATCCGCCGTTGCATTGGATTGGATTTGTTGGATAATTGGAAAATTGATTTTACTCCAAAGTAAAAACTTTTCAGTGAGGGAGGGCAATAAAACAATATCAATTGAGTATGCCAAGTTTTAGAATGAAACAATTAAGGGTAGCTCCATTTTGGTTATTTAGCTTTATCCGATTTTTTAACTACCAAAGTAATGCACGTGATACATAATTTATATATTAATGTGATTTTAAATTATATTTCCTACTTTATATTTTTATGCATGGTGTGGTGGGGTAATTTATTTTTTAAAAAAATAAAAAAAATAAATGGACAAAAAAAAAAAAAAAAAATCAGTAGCCCAAAATCAAATACACGTATTCTCAGAATACGTTTTAATAATTAGATTTTATTTAAAAAACGTATTCTTAAAATACGTGTAATAATTAATTTTATTTTTTTTAAAAAAAATTAAAAAACATTATAAAATGTATTGTTATAATATGTTTTTTTAAAAAAATAATAAATAAAACGTATTTTTATAATACGTTTTATATTTTAAAATTAATGAAAAAAAATTAATATTTAGTATGTATTTTGTGTTTCGAACTCGTTTGGGATCGTCTGAACTCGGAATTGAGTTTCGTTTTTTCCTATACGTAGCTAACGACCCCCTCTATTCAATGATGCTTGCATGATCAAATTATTCTTGAAATCTCTTGACCGACGGAACACTCGAAATTTCCTCTTCTCGCTTATTTTGCTACTATTCCCACGGGAATACAAGTTTCTCTAATCAAATGCTCGGAACTCCGAAATACTCGATAAATGCCCTGCATGACATCGTGCCTGAATTATCTACACGCCCCAACTCGATTCTCGATAAACCAAAGTCACACGCGACCTTGCGGGACCCACGTAAACGGCTTTTTTATTTATTTTACTAATATGCACCCTCGAACTCAAGCTTCTCTAAATAAATGATCGAGACCTCGAAATAATAAATCGACGCCATAACGGCTTCTCCTCTTCTCGTGCTTTCCCGAAAGCACTTTTCATTAATGCTCGACTTTCTTATCGAGGCCCGACGGAACACCCGAAGTCTCCTCTTCTCGCTTATTTTGCTACTACTCCCACGAGAATTCAAGTTTCTCTAATTAAATGCTCGGAACTCCGAAATACTCGATAAATGCCCCGCATGACATCGTGCTTGAATTATCTACACGCCCCAACTCGATTCTAGGTAAACCAAAGTCACACGTGACCTTGCGGGACCCACATAAACGGCTTTTTCATGTATTTTACTAATATGCACCCTCAAACTCGAGCTTATCTAAATAAATGATCGGGACCTCGAAATAATAAAACGATGCCATAAATAGCTTCTCCTCTTCTCCTGCTTTCTCGAAAGTTGTTAATGCTCGACTCTCTTATCGAGACCCGACGGAACACCCAAAGTCTCTTCTTCTCGCTTATTTTGCTACTATTCCCACGGGAATTCAAGTTTCTCTAATTAAATGCTCGGGATTACAAAATACTCGATAAATGCCCCGCATGACATCGTGCCTGAATTATCTACACGCCCCAACTCGATTCTCGGTAAACCGAAGTCAAAGTCGACCTTGCGGGACCCACGTAAACGGCTTTTTCATTTATTTTACTAATATGCACCCTCAAATTCGAGCTTCTCTAAATAAATGATCGGGCACTCGAAATAATAAATCGATGCCATAAACGGCTTCTCCTCTTCTCGTGCTTTTTCGAAAGCACTTTTCGTTAATGCTCGACTCGCTTATCGAGGCCTGACGGAACACCCGAAGTCTCTTCTTCTCGCTTATTTTGCTACTATTCCCACGGGAATTCAAGTTCTCTAATTAAATGCTCGGAACTCCGAAATACTCGATAAATGCCCCGCATGACATCGTGCCTGAATTATCTACACGCCCCAACTCGATTCTCTGTAAACCGAAGTCACACGTGACCTTGCGGGACCCACGTAAACGGTTTTTTCATTTATTTTACTAATATGCACCATCGAACTCGAGCTTCTCTAAATAAATGATCGGGACCTCAAAATAATAAATCGATGCCATAAACGGCTTCTCCTCTTCTCGTGCTTTCTCGAAAGCACTTTTTGTTAATGCTCGACTCGCTTATTGAGGCCCGACGGAACACCCGAAGTCTCCTCTTCTCGCTGATTTTGTTACTATTCCGACGGGAATTCAATTTTCTCTAATTAAATGCTCGGAACTCCGAAATACTCGATAAATGCCCCGCATTACACCGTGCTTGAATTATCTACACGCCCCAACTCGATTCTCAGTAAACCGAAGTCACACGCAACCTTGCGGGACTCACGTAAACGGTTTTGTCATTTAT